ATCCCAGGGAGCATGGGGCACAAGGCGGGGTACACCCTGGACAGGGTGCCAATCCATCGCAGGGCACAATCACATACACACTCACACACCCATTCATACACTACGGACACTTTGGACATGCCAGTCAGCCTACCATGCATGTCTTTGGACTGGGGGAGAAAACCGGAATACCTGGAGGAAAGCCCCGCAGCACGGGGAGAACATGCAGACCACTAAGCCATATGTATATAGCTTTATGTGCCTCATCTAGTATTCATACACTGACTCTATTTACAAAGACTCGATGTGTGTGTGAGCATGTGCATTAAAGGGAACTATTCATTAAGCTCAATTGCTCTTTAGCAAATACATCACCCGTGCCACCTTTTGTTATACTTCCTACAAAAACCTAAGTGCCCATATGTGATCTAACTCCATATTGAGAAGGTAATTAATGTAGAAGTTAATTAGCTACCAAGAGTGGCCCAGTAACCCAGATCCCAAGAGACAAGCTGCAGTTACTTTTAATTACCTGCTGTTAATTTTGATGGTCTTTAAAATGGTTTGGGTGAGTGGAGATGAATGACATGCATTCTCACACACACGCACGCACACACACACACACCTCCCTCTTTGTCTCCATCGTGTGTAGACAATGTGGGGGATTGTGATGGATGGGTCACTTCCATGTGCAAACAGACACACTTTATACACGCGCACACACACGCACGCACGCACACTTCACGTGACTGTGGAACTGGAGTCATTTGTGCTTTTCTGAAGTCCTTTCTAAAGTGCCTTTGTTTTCTGGAGAGATACTGAGAGACTGTAACTCATCTCCTCTCCAAGCCCAAGAACAAAGAACTCTCTTTCGCGTGCGCTCTCGTTTTGTTTTTATTTATTTAATTTTTTTTATATAGATGTCTGCACTTCTTCATGTTTTTCTCAGATAAGAGTCAGTAATAGGCTTAAGGCTAAAACCCTTTTCTCAGATTTTCACAGTCCCTCTGTTGTTCAAATTGTCTCTGTGCATTATATCCTTCGTGTGTGTGTACAGCTGGGTGTATGCAAGGGTATATCAGGACAATATCCATACACACAAAGGATCATTCAGATGCTTGCTCATTTGCAAAGCCTGTGCTGGATGTTTGGATGAGATGATGCTGTAATTTCTGATGCAACGGTGTCAAATTTCACCCGAATGTGCCGTAAACACAGCCATGCAGTACATGTTACTCTTTGTGCTTTCCTCTTTGAACACTTTCTGTACCGTATAAGATACTCAAATGTGAAGTGGATATTAAAGATCAACTCCGTTTCAGTGTAATTTTATTTATTTATTTTTTTAAAGCATAATTTTAAACTAAACTAAATAGATGTGTGTGACACACTGTGACTTCAGCTTGTCCTGGGTGGCAGGGTTTATTTTACTCTCACGCTGTCAAAATACATCTTTATGCTACACTCATTGATCCCACAGTGATTAATGAGAAATCACTGAAAATCTAGCCTTCAACGTGCACAGATTTAGAGGTCAGGTAGAGGTGGGGGGTTTTACCTCTAAGCTGTAACTTGAGCTGCTGTATTCGTTTAGTCTATTGTGCAAGTCACACTTTTCAACTCGTTCTGCCCACGATTCATTCATTTAGTTCATAATGGCTAGAATGACTTTCATTCACTGCAGCCCGAAGCTTCAATAAAGTGCTTTCTGACTAGGAGTAACTATGTATAGGTTTAATATGAACATTTTAAGAAATTGCGATAATTGCAAAATCACATGAGAAGGAGTGCAGTTGTACTGAATATCAGCACGGCTGTGATTTATCCCTGTGGGAGAGTACTATAATTAATCACAGCCTTGCCAGTAGTCGCTATAATCACACAATTTCAAGTGCAATGTTGCTTTTATACAACGGTACCAGAAAAAAGAAATGACATTTAATAATATTTGGTGCCATTTCAGACACAATATGGCCAAATGTTCCGATAGCTAGCGCTGTGCCGGTGGCCATGACAACCGCACCGCTGCGGTGATAGTTTCCCACCACAGTGGTGGAGTGCCACCTGCAGTAGTGTCACAACACACACCACGTTAATGTTTCTGCTTGAGTGGGCACTACAAAGTACAACGTTTTGTATGCAGGTGTAATAATAATAATAATAATAATAATAATAATAATAATAATAGTTGCTATAGACATTTGTATTTATAGTCTACCATACAGCAGGAGATTTTATATTAATACACAAATGACGTAATCAGAATCCAACGCCTTATATGGTGTTGTCTGTTAGTTTGGCACGGAATGGTTTGAGCTCGGCAAAATCCAGTCAGGCGAATTCTGTGGTTTTACTTCGGGTTCTGCCGCTACGATGGATCTTGCTGGGAAACCAAATGTTACATGGGCGATCTGGGAACATTTGGATTCGTGCCCAACGATGGAGAAACGTGCGACTGTGTCCACTTTTCCACTGCCTCATTCCATTTCTTCTATAATAACCTCCACTAGATTTTGAAGCGTGGCTGTTGGGATTTGTGTTTATTCAGCCCCAAGAGCATTACTGAGGTCGGATGAGGAGGCCTTCGGCATAGCTGGCGTTCCAGTTCATCCCAAAGCTGTTCAGTGGGGTTGAAATCAGGACTCTGCTATGTGCAGGCCACTTGAGTTCTTCCACTCCAACCTTAGCTAACCATGTCTTCCTGGAGCTCGCTTTGTGCACAGGGGCATCATCATGCTGGAACAGGTTTGGGCCTCTTAATTCCACTGAAGGGAATTGTAAAGCTACAGCATACAAAGACATTCTAGACAATTGTGTGCTTCCATTTGTGGAAATAGTTTAGGGAATACTCGCATATGATCAGGTGTCCACAAAATTTTGGCCATATTGTGTATCTTTACCTAGGATGGTCAAGTATTCTTAAAGCGTTCTTCAAGCTAATCAAAGGTATATCATTGGTCTCTAAGGTCCAATAACATACCTCAGTTTATTTTTAAATGTAGACTGTATTCACGTTTTAGGTGTAAGATACATACTAATGGTACAGATGTGCCCTTTATATTGCCACTAGCAAGTTTTATACATTTTCTTCTCAGAATGTTTCCAAGTAAAGTATTGTGCTATATTGCTATCTTGGGTAGATAAATAAATGTTTTCATGTAACTAACTTAACAAATTAGTTCACTAATGAACTATTTAAGTTTGCAGTCTCTACTGACAAACCCGTGTTGTACTCCTAGCTACCTTATAGCTACGCTTGTGTAGGTATTCTTGCTAGTCTTGCTAGCCTGACTTCTGGCTTTCTCTGGAGAGTTTGCTACTTTTTGTCAAATGTTGGTTAGAACTGACGACTTTTACATGAATGCTTGTTTTATGTTTAGCGAACATATTGCCGTGAAACCTTCAGTTTTAAGCAGTTCAAAATCTTTCCATCATTTTAATCTGGCACACAAGTATGACAGCCTGCTGATGCCATGTGACCGTGTGTAAGCAACACCGTGTAGCTAACAAAGCGGGTGTGTTCAGCCAGTGAAGCGGTATGTATGACATGAGAGTGAACCAGCTCAGCATGGGGAACCACCACCATCACCACACACAGTCTTATGTGTCCAGATGTTTGAGTTTCTGAGGCCTGCTGTGGGTTACCAAAGTGCTAAACCACAGAGTTGATCGACTGGAGGCCCAGTGGCGTCACACATTACTCCTTACCCTAATTTGACTACATCAGAGATATTCAGTGCGGTTTAGCAAAGGAATGCGCCCTGTAGTTTAGTCCCATTAGCTTTGTGCATTGCTGAGGCCGTGTGCCTTGATCTTGGCCCGGTGTGATGTGTATGGGTGATTTTATTTATTTGTTTATTTATTTATGTTTTTTGTTTTGTTGTATTTTCGCATCTGTTCTTGAATTCGGTCCAGAGGACACTGTAGGCTTAACCATATATACTCACAGTAGTGGATGAGTGTGTTTTCTTCACAGGCCACCTCTAGGCCAGGACCAGGCTTTAGTTGCCATGGTGAACATGGAATCATGAAAGCCCAGCTCCCTCTGTAGCTGAGAGCCATACCGGTGTCTGATTGGTTGAGGAGTCCAGCATGGGTTGGTGATGCGTGCTGTCAGCTGTCCAATAGGGCACAGTGTGTGTTAGGGCTGTTGCTAAGGGGAGTTTCTTGGAAAGAAGTCAGCTGGATTTTTTCTCTCTCCCTTTTCCCTCATCGATTTCATCTCCCCCTCCCTCATCCTCTCTCTCTCTCTTTTTTTTTTTTTTTATTTTTTTTAACACTTCTACACATACAGAGCACATGTTAGAAAATTCACTGAATATTTTATGCTGCTTTTTGGTGCATTTGTCTCTGAGATGTGTGTGTGTGGTGTGTGTGTACTCTGAAATGTGTATGGTGTGGGGGTTTTTGTACATAAATCTGCACACTGGGAGGGGACCTCTGCTGTGTGCTGCATGCATGTGCCTTTGAGTGAATGTGAAGCAGAAAATAAAGGTTAGGGCTTTTGGGGGAGGGCATATTAGGGTCCATATTGGGTATGCACAGGGTGTCACGTAGGCAATGTCCCCTCAGTCATTCTGTTCCCCTTCTTATAGCCTGTGTCCTTATATACAGTACCTTCCACTAATATTGGCACCCTTGGTAAATAAGAGCAAAGAAGGCAGTGAAAAATTGTCTTTATTGTTTATGCTTTTGATCTTTTGTTAAAATAATTCACAAAAAAATACTCTGCTCTCATGGATATCAAACAATTGCAAACAAAAGACAGGTTAATCTAAAAAAAAAAATCTTTTAAGGTGTGCAACAATTATTGGGACCCTTTTAGTTAATACTTTGTGCTACCTCCCTTTGCCAAGATGACAACTCTGAGCCTTTCTTCAGTTCACTCCACAGGTTTTCTATGGGTTTCAAATCAGACCATGATGCATGTTTTATTTATTTATTTATTTATTTATATTTATGCTTTTATATGTACATTTACATTTATGGCATTTGGCAGATGCCCTTTTCCAGAGCGACTTCTCAGCATTTGAGATTTGAACTCATGACTTTCCGATCAGTAGTCCAATGTCTTAACCACGACAGCTACCACTGTTCTCCAGTTTTGGATCAAATTGTCCTGCTGGAAGATCCAACAATGGCCCATTTTCAGCTTTCTGGCAGAGGCAGTCAAATCACAAAAGCACAAAAGCTGTTTAAAAGGTGTTACCGTGATGGTGCCACATTTGTCATAAGATGTTGTAAATATGGGAAATAATTTTGCATGAAAATTGTCAGTCAATAACATATTTAAGTCACAGTTTTAAACAAAAAGGTGGATTTGAGAAAACTGGCCAAATCCAGTCCAATGCCCAACCCTTCTCTTTTCAGTATGCAGTTGCTCCTGAAGACCTTGATTAGCTAGATCAGGTGTGGTACATTGTTTTTCTGCCAGAGGGTAGATATGCAGGAGCAGGAAAGTGTATCAGTGGTGTTTAACCTTCAGAGAATTCATGTTGAAGCTCATAGTGATGAGTGGAAGGTTTTCCCTAAACTGTTTCCACAAATTTGGAAGCACTTAATTGTATATTATGCCTTTGTATACTGTAGCGTTACAATTTCCCTTCACTGGAACTAAGAGGCCAAAACCTGTTCCAGTATAACAATGTCCCTGTGCACAACGCAAGCTCCATGAAGACATGATTTGTTTTTAGTGGAAGGATTCAAGTGTCCTGCACAAAGCCCTGATGTCAACCCCACTGAACACCTTTGAGATGAACTGGAACACCAACTGCACTGTGACACAACTAGGTGTGGTGTTCTAGAAAAGCAATTAATGACAAGGTGTGAAGGTGAAGTAGAATAAATGTCACCACCCTGTTGTTTTTCCAATAACAGCATGTCCCAAAGTTAACATAGCAATTTGCCAACGATTGTATTATTTTATTTACTAAAGCATGTCATACATTTATCCCTTTATAGTTATGTTTAGAAAGATGTTGTGAAACACTAGTTCCTGCTATGACTTGCTATTATATTATAGCAGCTATAAACAGTCCTTTAATTACCAGCCACTCTTTTTTTTTTTTTTTTTCCTTTTTCATTCCTCTCTCATAAAATTAATAAGGGAAAAAAAGTGCTACTGCAAAACGTTTCCATGTCGGAGGATTTACAGCTTTACAGTAGTTTATAGCATCTCTGATTGGTACAAAGCGCTAATACTGGAGACTCCTTCCAAAAAATTATAAATAAATGTCGTCTCATAGAAAACTTCAACATTGGGAGGAATCACACACATTTTTTAAAAATCAGTTTATGTGGAGTGTCTGTCATACAAGTCCAGAGCTATCATAGCTACACCTTTATCATATCAACCATGGTAACGTCGTCGTATATAGAGTAGCAATCATAGGTACGTTAAGCTACCTTGGCAAGTATCAGAACTATAACAAAGTACAATATAGTAAAATATAATATATAATATTTTACAGCACCATGGTTTAACATTTTGTAAGTGTACAGTAATCATTAAATCCCAGACCAAAATCAGAGTTAACCTTTGAATAAACTTATATGAGGGGTAAAGAGTTAGAGAAGAGGTGCAGAGAGGGCACTGGGATTTTGAGTACAATAGGATTGATCAGTTCCTCTACAGCGATGCAGCTCCTGTTACATAAGACCACCTGGTACATCTCATCTCTCTCACACAGTCTTCACAATACTTTAGAAGTTTAATATTTGGAAAGCCGTTCTGTTAATTATGTTTGATTTAGCTTTTTGCTTTTTTGCTCGAAGATGAATGAAACTGAGATGCCGGTGAAGTTTTGCATGTGTTCCAGCACACTCCTGGGACTTCCCATGCTGCAGATTAAAAATAGTCTGAGGTGCAGTGCATCTCTAGATTTGGGAAGTGCAGCACACTCTGCCTCACACACGCGTTATAAATGGCTATTTGGAACGCACGGCCATCTGAACTGTTCCCAAGGATTTATTTTACTTGCTCACATGGGTCTCTGTTTTTCCGTTTTCACGGAAAACTTTTTTTTCCTTTCATCTTTATTCCTGAAAAGCAGAAGTTTCCATCGTCTGCCCTAGCTTACCTCGTGCACTAGACCAAGTGAGAGAGAGAGAGAGAGAGAGTAGTGAGAGAGCAAATGAAACCGCAACTGACAGGTGAGACATGATGTTCGTTAAGGATTAACAATAAGGGGTGTGTGCGAGCGAGAGAGAGAGGGAGAAAGAGAGAATTCCAGAGATGTATTTTGTCACCTGACATGTTAAATGTGTGAAAGCGAGTAAATACCCCCTAAGATAATTGAATGAGTGACAACTTGTCTGGCATTTTATTCTATATGAAGGGCTGGCATTTTGAAAGAGTGTATCTGACAGAAGTTGTGCAGTATCTCTCTTTCTTAGCTCAGATCACATACTAGCTACATTCATTTCTGAAGCTAGTAGCTGCACATTTGAACAGACTTGACTGCTGGTCAGCATTTTAAATGAAAAGGAACCTCGAGCGGTGTCGCATTTCAGAAGTGACCACTCACTTGCATCGTAATTTTCAGCTCGACAGTTATGTGACATTTCACATCGCCGACTATAAAATAAGCAACTCGCTTACATTGGTAAAAATCCAGTATGTCTCAGTTACATTTGCAGTTTGGCCTGCTGTGTTTGCCGCAATGTTCATAGAACTCATAGAACAGAATGAAAATGATGTGAAGGATACGCAATACTGTTGTGAAATTTGGCCAAAATGGAGCACCTCAGAGGGCAGCTGCTATCTGAATGAGCCGGTCTTTACCTCAGGATTGCTCAACTGCTGCGCAAAAATGATGACCTTCTGTGTATGCTTTTATACTGATTGAAATGTAGGAACTGTGCCAAATCAGTACCCATATGCATCACATTGTAGGTGACCTATTTTGTAATTTATGTTCTTTCTCAGCATAACCATTATATGTTCCTTCTAGTGGTGTAACAATTCAATTTGGATATGGTGGTGTATTGATACGATACATTTTTGATACAGCATTGCCTGACTATTTGTCTCAGGTTTCCATTTTCAATTGATAAAAACATTCCACATTGTGAAAGTCCAATATTTGAAACTTAATAATGACACAGTGTGATTTTATTAAACATGGCTAAGCTCTCACTGGTGTGACACCACAGCGTGGTGTGTCTGAAGCACAGAACTTCTCTTTGGCCCTGTTTACGCTAGTGTGTTTTTGTTTTAAAATGAAAACCATCCTCGTCCACACTGGCGTTTCCGCCGTGTTTCAGAAACGATCTCCATCCACACTATACGACCGAATACACATGTCACATGACCATTCATGCACACTGGGCATGCACATACAAGTGTAAACAGGAAGTTGGTCGCTAATCCAAACCGATGCTCCATGTAGGGTTTACGCCACTCGAAATGAGATTTGTTGGCGATTTGCTCTAATCGTAGCTCGCCTCTTGCGCATGTAGGCAGCTGCCGTATTATAAAATACTGAATATAACTGCACAGTGACTGTTAAGAATGACAACAAAGCCAGCAATTCTTGCGGTTCAGTCTCCGTGTTGTTGTGTATACGATCAAGGTAGTGTAATGGTCATATGGTAGGGGCTTGACGAATCAGGGAAGGATACGAAATGATCCAGAAGACCCAATCATGTGTGTGAAGCCACGCCTTCATTTTCAAAAGTCTTCCCTTTGGTCTGTTTACACTGAAATTCGAGCCCGGAGTTTTCACAGTAAAACAGGGTCTTCTGCTTTTCCGAAAGTCTCGGAGTAGTAAAGATGATGAGTGTAACCGTAGCAACAGTTATGTGTTTTAAAAGGAAAACACACTAGTGTAAACGGGGCCAGAGTGTGCTGTTAGCCTGTTGTGTTGTCCGAGTCGAACGCAGCTCTCTGTAGCCCTAGATGTGTTTTTGCATCCTGTATTCTCCACTACCAAATATGAACTTCCCAATCGCCATGGTGATTTCTTTTACTGAGGATGAATCAGTGAGGACAGGCTGTCTGAATGCAGTAGAATGAGTTTACTGTGTGTGTGTGTGCGTGTGTGTGTCTCGTTTTAAAGCCTGGTACTGGTTGTTGCAAAACAAACAAAAAAAACGCAGCATACGCAGAATTGTAGGCTTTTTGTTTCTCTCCTGTTTCCTCTCCTGATTTGATATAAAGAAGGCGTGACTTGATTGCACAGAAAATTTTATTTCACCTCATGTAATGTAATATCAGTGGTATTCTGTGAGGTATTTCATGATCCTTATCGACTAAAAGTTAATATTCACTTCCTCCATATAAGTAATAGGGCTGCACCATATATGGTGCATTAATGACCAGAAATTGCCTCAAATCATGTTGCCATCACACCTTGTGGTGTTTTACACACTTTGGCAACTAACTCTTCGAGAGAGCCGGCTTATGAGGTTGTCAGTGATACATCAGTAACAGGAACCAGCTGATACTCAGACCTCTGATATCCTCATTTTATCAAAAACTGAAGCCTGGCCTTAGCTCTGTGAAGGTCTTGAACTCATAAGTGGTTTGCTTTGAAGCTCTTCTCTCCACACTACAGCTCCTGACCCAGAAAGAGCAGAAAGCTGGAAACTACAGAGAGCAGACACGCACACACACACACACACACACACACACACACGGAGTACACTAAGGAAGGAAAAGATTACAAACTGAGACTCTGAGAACGAAGATGTGTTGGTAGAGAGTAGCTTTACGTCTGGCCAGGTGTTCATGTGTCTCTGGCACTTTGAGCAAAATCGAAAATTGATCAAAGGAGTAAAAATTACAGAAGGCTGTGTGTGTGTGTGTGTGTGTGTGTGTGTTAACTCGCTTTCATCTTTCTGTTCTCACATTCCCTTACTATCTCAGTATACAGTGCTCTCACTCTCAATTCATTTGTCTCTGAGGTGCTGTCTGCGTCTCGTCGCCGTGTGTCTGGCTCTTTGTTTAAGTGTAGCTGAAGCTTAGGTGTGTGTGTGTAGGTAGAGCATCCTCCCTCCCTCCCTCCCTGCTGGTATTCTGTCTTTCTTGTTTGTTGGATGCAGGAGGTGTCTTTAAGTGTAATTCCTAGCGGTTTAAAAAAAAAAAAAAGTGTG